CTGTTTATTATAATTAAAAGTTAAAACCAATTGTCTGTGCTCAAACAATTACACTTGGACGTGTAAGCCGGCATGTAACCGAGCATGCTCATGTAGCATTTGTCATGTACGCTTGGGTGTGTAAGCCGCCACCTACGGACTGACTCGGTTGCCTGAGGAATTAGGATGCAATTGATTAATTAGAATAGGGGTATTAGGAAAAAAATAATAATGTTTACTTCTATTTGAGGAAAATTAAGGGTTAGTTTCTATTTAGGGAAAAAATGGTGGGTTTTACTCCTATTAAGAGCAATTATTTTTTACAGTTTAGTTTTTAAATATAAATTTTTTCATTTTCATATTTAGTCCACTCTAAATTGGGAATGTCATAAGTCTCATAACACCTTGAATTCCTAATCGGTTGGTAGGTACTATTCAAATTCAACCAAACTTTAGATCAGTCACCGTCGCCAAATCTAGTCCGCAAAATACTTCTATGATCATCTCTATGAATGTTGTGCCGTCGTTTAGAAAATTAGAACTATACTTTATACATACTCCGTAATATAAATTCTATATTATGCTAATATTTCAAAAATATATACTCCGTAATATTCATTTATAATTTTGGAAAAGTAAGGGTATAAGTTAAAAGAGTTGGACTTGGGATACTGTGTACACACTTTTATAAATTATTTTGTAGATTATTTTTTTTGTCTGTACAAACATATTTTGACTTCTGTGTGATAGATCTCTAAGATATTCAAAGCATATTCGATGAATAAGAAAGCGTCAAATTTCTGACTTCTGTGTTGTGGTCTGTGTTGTGGTTGGTGAATGAAATATAATCGCACCAGAAGTCATCAATTTGGTGCCTACTTGGCTTATAGCCTCCGGCACCAACCACCACATGGAAGAAGGGGGGGACGTTAACCACACATTAATTAAGAGAGAATGAGAGAAAATTGTGGATGTCTAAAATACAAGAAACAAAAAAAGAAACAAAGAAAAAGACAAAGTAGGGAAATTGCTCTAAATAAGAGAGTAAAAACATTCTGGAATTTCAAATTAAGAATATCATATTTTTATTCTCAAAATAAGAATAATTACTGTCATGTTTTGATAGTATCAGACTTTATTAAACATTACAGTATGTTCCAAACTTAATTCCCTTTGTCCCGTTAGACCATTTAGAGTGGTGAGGTATTAGGAGTCCAAAATGCTAAATGTAGAATTTTTGGACTCCTAATTGTGTGTAGTGGTAGTTTAAAGGTGGTATTAAAAATGGAAGAGGGGATGGAATGTATTAAATATAGAGGGTTGGTTAAGATCAGAGGGGAGTGGGAAAAAGAATTTGCACAAAAAGAATTATCATCCCTGCATCATAATATCCCAAAAAAAATTAAACTTTTTTTTTGCAATTTTTTATTTATTTAAACTTGTATAATTTTTTTATTTTTTATCCAAATTTTTCAAAAAGTATATCAAAATTCATAAATTTTTATGATATTTCATATGACACCAATATATAATATATAAAAATGATTTTGTTTAAAGTTTTAACTGTTGAAGTTTTCTTGAGCCCCGGAAAAACATGAAACACAAATCTTTAATTCATGAAGCCTTCAAAAATAATTGAATATTCCATAATCGAACTTTACTTGAATTAAGTTCATATTTTGTTAACCGAAAAACGTAAAAAAAGTTAATGAAATTTATTTATTTTTATATCGAAATATGTCCTTTTTATTTTATAATTAATCAGAGAAAAAATTAAAGCGAAAACATTACTTAAAATAATTTAATAAATGTTTTACTAAATTGACATGTAAAAAAATGTGCAGAGTGTATTTTATTGACGGTGCTGGAATGCAGAGAAATAAGAGTCAAAACACTGTTTTCATATGGACGGAGTCCATTTTTGACATTAGACTCGCTCACCACTCCAAATGGTCTTAAAGGTTCAAACTTTGCTTATTTGGATGTCCCGTTGAAAGGTTCCCATTTTATTTTACAAAATTATGTACCCTCTTCAATTACACCTCTATCCATCACTTAAGGATTGTTTGCTAAAGTTTTTAAAAAATCGCTTTTTAGCTTTTGACTTAAAAAAAAAAGCCAAAAGAAGTGTTTTTAAATGACAGTTTCTGCTTAAATTAATCACTTAAATGCTAAAAGCTGGAAGCATGTGCAATGGTGCTTTAAATTCATTTTCACTTTTTCTATTTCACAAAAAACTCTTACTTTACCAAACATGACTAACTTTTACTTTTTCAGAATCATTTTTTTTCTCAAACACTACCAACTGTTACTATATTAAATACTTTCTCCAAAATCACTTTAAAAATCATTTTCTAAAGTAGAAGCAATCGCAAACACTCTCCTTCCCATGTGACGCTGACATCATATGTTTACTTTTACTTAATTTTTCTCTTACCTCTTTCTTTACCCAATTTAATTTATTTAACAATTTGTCTAATACTTTGCCATCTTTCTTTTTTGGGATGTCCCGAAAAACTTTGTCACTTTCTCTTTTAATCAATTATTTTTTGGTTTTTGTTATTTTTCTTTCATCTGCACAAACCTCAACCACACAATTTTTATTTTATTATCTTCCGTGCCGATCAACTTTGACAAAATTTCAAGGGACGGAGGTAGTAATTACTCTTATTTAGAGAATAATGACATGACAAACCTTTTTTGAAAATTCAATTTTTTTAATTCCTATTTACAGAACAAAATTGACAAAGTTTAAATGCTCGTAACATTTAAAACAAAATTGATTTTAGAAAGTAAATTTTAGAGGGTGTCATAAAAGAAATACCGAGGGACTTATTATAAAAAATAGAAAAAGTAAAAGTAATTGGAGTTCAAGAAAAAGCTTACCACAAAGGGAAAATGTGGCAAAATATTTAAATGCATTCTAAATAGAAAATTGTATTACCTCTGTCCCTAGTAAAACTTCCAAATGAGTTGGACACACAGTTTAAGATAATAGGTACTGTGTGGTGGAGATTTGTGCAGAAGAGAGAGAAATGCATAAAAAATGTTGTGAATCTCAAATTCTTTATCTAAAAGAGAAAATTGAAGTTTTAATCAGGATGGACGAAAAGAGAAAGTTGGAAGTTTATTTAGGGACATAGCGAGTAATAAACTTTAAAATATGGAGTATAGTTTTTTCTTTATTTAACAAAATAATTTCTTAGCCATAATTCAGATTTTGGCAACTTAACTATATTAAGTTTTTTTTACTGTTAATCGTCTATATTGATAGAGATAATCATGAAACTTACATTACACTTCAACTCAACTTCCTTATCCCCGTGAGACTCGATATAAATTATAAACTGAAAGTCTGTCACTCCCTCATTAGAAATAGAAAAGAAGGTTCAAAATTGAACAAAACTTTTTGCCAACAATGTTTGAGCTTTGAAGATTTTCCTTGCCACACTAACCTTGATTTTTCTACCCAAAAGAACATAAAGCACCCGGGATAAGCTGTTTTTCTACACTAACCTTGATTTTTCAGACGAGTTGTTCACTTTTTATTCTATTAAGTCATGTCTAGATTAAAACATTTGTTTGAGTTAATATGTTTGTTTTTGTATCCTGAATAAATAGTCTGAATTGAAAAAAAAATTAATTTAGTATAATGTTTAGATTATAATATTAATGAAAAACTTCATTTATTAGCATAAATCTATTCCACAATCATTTTGAAAAAATTGGCAAAAAAAAAACGTCTTAATGGTAAGGAATGTTATTCTCCGGTTTAATAGCTAAGTCAGTTTGGTGACTGAATGATTAAGTCATGTTTCCAATGAAATCATAAGTAAACATGACTTAATATCCGAATTATTAAATCGTCATTGCCATTAAATCGAAAGTAAACGACCCCTAAATTAACCTACAGTCCCTAGAGAGTAATTAAGAGCTACTTTTGAGTCAATTGTGATCGGCACCTTGAGGTTCTCATGTAGAGCCCGTTGGATAGTTTTCAGTTTTCACATTCCCATTAATAATTTCTGGTGCGATTACTATTAAATACGAAGTATAAACTAACATATTGATGAATTCAATATATATAAATCACAGGCACTAATGGGAATGTGAAAATTTAATACTCCTCCGTATTTAAGTTGTGCCTGTGTTTACAATTACTTGAGTTAATAGGGTAAAGACATTAATAATGAGTGAATTGCCTAAATAGGACTAAAAGAAGGTAAAATTGCAAAAATAGGACATAATGTTTTAAGTTTCCTTAATAGGACTAATTATTTGAATTTGGACAAAAATAGCCTTCTTGATTCTCGCTGCATCGATTCGCTGGGTGCGATCAATGTTGATCGGCAACGATGGATGTACGCCTCTGCTACATACATGCCTAGGTAAGTTTCTTCTCCATCTTTTAATCTTCTTCTGCTCATCGTTAACTTCTTATCAAAGCTCCCTTGTTTTCCTCTTCTACAACTCTTCTATTTTCTTCTTCTTTTAGATTTCCAAATTTTTATTAATCTTGAGTAATTTATTTTAAAAGATTCATATTATTGTTCTCATCACTTGAATCTGAAAATGTCACAAATGATGTTTAATTGAACACTAATTTGTAATAATGTCACTTTTATGACATTACATTTGCTAAGGTGACCATTTCAAAGAAGAATATGACATTTCCAAAAAGAAAAAATGTCATTTTCATGACATTTTCGAAACAAAAATGACATTTTCAGATTGTCATCCTAGTAAATGTACTGCCACAAACGTGACATTTTTTTCAAAGAACAAGATGACATTTCCAAAAATGAAAAATGTCATTGTCATGACATTTTCGAAACAAAAATGACATTTTCAGATTGTCATCCTGGTAAATGTACTGCCACAAAACATGACATTTTTTTTTTCAAATAACCAATAATTTTGACATTCTCAGATTATAAAAGTGTCATTTTCCTGAATAAATAAAATTCAAACCCAAAAAATCTAAATTAATAAATAAAATTCAAATCCAAAAAATTCGAAGAAGAAGAGAACGGAGGACCAGAAATTTGAAGAGGATTAGAAGAAGAGAAAAAGAAGAAGAAAAAGAAGAAGAAGAAGAAGAAGAAGAGGAGGAAGAAAGGAGGAGGAGATTACCTACGATCAACGGCGGCTATGGTGCGAGGCCATAGCCGATGGCGGAGCTGCAGTCTATGGGATGAATTGAAAGCATGTGCGGAGCTGCTGCGATTTGTTGTAGTTGATCGGAGAAAGCAGCGATGAAGGGGGCAGAGCATCGATGAAGCGGACTGGACGATGAAACGAGAAAAGTAGAAGGGGGCGAGAGATTGGGGTTTTAATTGCAGAAGGGCAAAAGAATAATCTGGAGTCCCATTTATGCAATTTAAAACTTGAAGTCTTATTTTGGAGTTTTAACCATGTTTTGGTCCCATTTAGTATAATTTTACATTAATAATTTCATACTTCGTATAATTATTCATGTTTTAACTTGTAGTAATAATTGGATCCTAACCAGTATTGACTACTGATTACTGAAGCACGTTAAGATTAACCGGTATGGCATTCCTTCACAATTTTCTGAATTTTTGTAATCAACAATTCAAGGATCCAATGGTAAAGAGTGAAAACAAAGTGACCAACAAAGGCAAATGTCTTTTTCTTATACTTCCAATTCATACCTTCTAAGCTTTTACATGGAAAAACAACAGATAAGATAAACAAAACACATCATCAATTCAATGCTTAGCATCAACCCCAGAACTGGGAAAACCAAAGAAACAAAAAGTTCTTCAATACCTTGAATCAAAATTGCAAAAATGGATATTGTTCAATATTGAATCATTCAATCAATCAACCATGCCTGGCCTGGAAATCCTTCATGAAAGCAACAAGCTTTTCAACTCCGGCCAATGGCATAGCATTGTAAATTGAAGCTCTCATTCCTCCAACTGACCTGTGTCCTTTAAGCTGCACCATCTTCTCAGCAGCCGCTTCCTTTATGAACTCTGCTTCCAACTCAGATTTCGCCAATGTGAAGGGCACATTCATCAATGACCTCACTGATTCCTCAACCGGGCATCTGTAGAACCCATTGCTTGAATCAATGGTCTCATACAGAATTCCAGCTTTCTTCTTGTTCTTCTTCTCCACTTCTCCCAACCCTCCCTGTCCCAATAGATCTTCAAAAACAAGCCCACACATGTAAATCCCGTAACATGGGGGAGTGTTGTACAATGAATTGTTATCCGCGTGGATCTTATAGTCCAGCATCACCGGTGTGGATGCTTGTGCATTTCCGATCAGATCTTTCCGGATTATAGCTATGGTGACGCCGGAAGGGCCAACATTCTTTTGAGCTCCGGCGTAGATGATCCCGAATTTGGAAACATCCACGGGTTTCGAACAGAAATTCGACGACATGTCGGCGATTAGAATGGTGCTAGGGTTTCCGGGCGTGGGGTAATTTTTGAATTCCACGCCGTGAATGGTCTCATTGGCGCATATATGCAAATACCTGGCGTTCGAGGATTGTTCTAGAGACTCGAAGCTCGGGATCTTGGTGTATTTCTCCGATTTGCCTGACCAGATCAGATTGGGCTTGCAGTACTTTCCGGCTTCCTTGAAAGCCTTGTCTCCCCACGATCCGGTGACTATATAATCGGTGGTGTCCTCAGGGGAGCAGAGATTGAGCGGAACGGCGGAGAATTGTGTGGTGGCGCCGCCCTGGAGGAAGAGGACGGCGTATTCATCGGGGATGCCGAGGAGAGCCCGCAGATCTGCCTCTGCTTTCTGGATAATGGATAGAAACTCCTTTCCACGGTGGCTCATCTCCATCACCGACATGCCGGAGCCGTTCCAATTGACGAGCTCAGCCTGTGCCTTCCTGAGCACGTTCTCCGGGAGAGTGGCAGGACCAGCCGCGAAGTTGAAGACCCGATCTGAAGAAACGACGGAGGGAGGCGGAGTTTGGACATGTGCAACGGCGGCGTTGGCTGTTGAGTTACAAGAAATGGACGCTGGCTTAGTGGAAGAGGGGAGGGTGACGGTGGTGGGGAAGGTAGAGACATTTGTGACGGAATTCAGGCGGTGTTGATGGAAGGTGGCTCGTAGGGCGGTGGCGGCTGACATGGAGGCCATATTTCCTTCTTTAATGCAGCTTCACCGTCGTCAGGGGATGTGCTTTCAGGGAGATAGATGAATGGTGATTTTATAATACCCCGTCTGGGTGAAATTTTGATCCGTATCTTTCACGGGAATAATAACAATAATATGAGATATTATCCAAAATGAGACTAAAAAAGTTTGGAAATTCCAAAATAAAACATCCATGTTTTTATTTCCAAAATAGGATTAATTACTGTTGTGTTTTGGCAGTATCAGACTTCAAATTTGACAGTATTTTCCAAATTTGGCAGTAATTAGTCCTATTTTGGGAATAAAAACATGACAGTCCTATTTTAGAATTTTCAAACTTTTTTAGTCCCATTTCGGGAACTTTCCCTAATAATATTGGAATGACAAAGAATATTACCAATAGCTTTGGATTGGACAAAAATTGGGCTATATATAAAACAAAACAAAGACAGTTTTGGGGTTTTGATGTTAATATTATTAAAGAGTGGATAATAGACAAAGAATGACTTTTTTTTATATCTAAACAGACAAATATACAATTACTAAACAATTAGGTTTACTTAATTATCATTAGCCATAGTCTCTATTGGACAACATCATCGTCTCATCCGTGACACTGATCATAGTGAAACCGCCACAGTTACACATTGACCATAATAACCCCATCAATGTCGGTCGCCACCAGTCCACCACCAACCCCATCTAACTAGCCCTAGGCCGCCGCCGACCCTGATCGGCGACCAGCCCTACTCCCAGCACTGCCGTCAACCCTGTCCCAAGCCATCGGAATCCCCAGCCAACTCCAACCCTAGACGCTTCCATTTGGATCTTGATTGACTCCATATGACTCGCCACCGCAATTCCTAACCCAGAAACTCTATAAATGTATAACAGCCCCCAAGTTTAATTACTTTTAGATAAGTTATGTAATTGAACCTTGAGAATGGTTAATGAATACACGAGGTTATAAATTTTTCTTGTTACTTTTGTGAGTATAGAGAAATGCACGTGGGGCCCACACGGGAGCGGGGACCACCCGATATTTCAGTAACCACATATTATATTCATCTTGGTCTAGAAAATATTTATATGTCGTTGTATATTCTCGATTGGGCCATTGAAACGATGTATAGTTGGTCGGTGGTCAGAGTGTCAGACGAGGCCCATATACAAGTATTGGTATGTTAACAAATATCGGTCCGTAATAAATTACAGCGACTTTTAAATTAAAGTTGGGGAATGTGTATTCATCCTAAAAGCGCATAGTGATTGAGAATATGATATATATTTTATTTGACCAACAAAATAAAATATTTTTAAAATAGTCCGAGAAATACGACTTTCGGGGCCGAATGTACATTTTGGGACACATTGGGAAGACTTCCCACATGAGTGATGGCTTTGTCACATATTTGTGTGTTCAAAGTTGACTTAAGGGGGCTGCACAATGTGGGAGTGTGGCGTAGGATGGTTGACAATGATGGGTTGGTGTGAGAATGACCATAGGTGGACCTCTCTCCCTCAAGCCTATGAAAGAGAAGGAAGCTCTCAAACCACCATCCACCATTGTTAGAAGCAAGTTCAACTAAAGGAAAGATCCAAAGAAGGAGCAGGAAAAGAGGAGAAAAACCTAAGCATCAAAGTAATGATATCTTAAGCTCCATTTCTCCTTGCATAAGAATATCATATGGCTTATATATCATATGAAGGACCCCTAAGAGTATTCTACATGTTTAGAAGTGTAGAATGAGAGGTTGGAATGTGTTCCTAAGTCCAAGAAGAGACTTAGAAGCCAAGGTGATCAGTTCGCTGGAAAATAACCTTTTAAGGTTATTTGTATTAATATGGATTTGGGATGTTAAAATCTTGTAAGGTGTTCGTAGAGCTTTCATGAAGTTTAAAGAGTTGTGGTAATTTTCGCCGGAGTTTAACAAAGTTCGTCGGAGCTTCGCCGGAGTTCAACCAAAGAGGGTAGAACTTCTTAAATCTTGTTCAAGGTGAGTGAACGACTTAATGTCTTATAACTCTTGGGTTAAGTATGAGATTACCTAAGTAAATGTTATGTGTGTTCATAATGATGTTTAAAAGGGTTTAAGCATGTGATTAGCCAAGGTGATTAGACTTATATGAATTGAACTATAATGATATGCATGAAAAATGATATGATAATGTTTATAAAACATATGTGATGTTTTAAAAATCCAAAATGACATTTATTGATTGTTTAAACTTAATACATGTTGTGATTAAGTTTCGGATCAATCGGAGTCAGTTTGGGCGGTCAACGGGCCGTAGACCGTGAAGAAGATAGTGGACTGGTGCTGGTTTGGCCTATAACTGGTGTCGATCTAAGTACGGGATTCCCGGATTTATTATTTTAAATAGGAACTGGCGCCAGTCAGGCCTTGAACCAATTAAAAAAATTTGGTTTATGGCCTTGTGGTTGCATAACCTCTTATTTTGTTTAATTATTGCTTAATAAAAATGATAAATATAGAGTAGTTAGATCTGTAGAATGGTTTTGTTTGGGATGAAAATTTCTGATTCGGTTTGCTATATTCAAGTATGGTCAGATCTGATTTGTTTAAATTTGGTGTAGTCCAATTTGTTAGTTTGACATATGTGTTTTTAGAGTTTTTATACTTTTAGTCCTTCGACTATTATGCGAATGACATTTTTGATGATGACTTTTATTTCTTCTATTTTTAGTCGTTTGACTATTATGCAAAAGACGAGTTTGGCACCCATCTTTAAAATTTTGCATATTTATTCAATAGATTTTAATAAAAAATGCACTTTTATCATCCAACTATTATCATAGTGTCATTTGTTGTTTTTCACTAAATGACTAAAAATGTCACTTTGGCAATGATAAGGGGACCAAATGTGAGTAACTTTGATGTTCAAGATCAAAAGTTTTTCTACCATAATCGTTGAAGGGCTCGAATCAATAAAAACATTATAAAACTTCGGTAAAAGTGAATTGATCTATGAAGTATAGAAGGCTACCAAATGTTAATGTTAATGTTATGTTTGAGTGAAGTTTTGGCTTTTGACCAAATAATACGAAGTAAGCTCCAGTCTGCATCTCAGACTCTCATAGTCCGTACTCCGTAGTGGGTTAGTACTCTCTTGTGGGCTCTTGGTTTAAAACTCATTATGCAATTTTTTAGGAATGGGGAAATTCCCTAAATGGAATAAAATGTTTGTGTATTGTAAAATAAGAGGGTAATTTTTTTTCTAAATAGGAGTAATTAGAGTCAAGTTTTGGTAATACCCAACTTTAAAAATGGCAATTTTTTTCACGCTTGACAGTAATTACTTTTTTTAAGGAATAAAAACATGAATATTCTATTCTAAATTATCAAACGTTGTTTCCCCTGTTTCGAGAATTTTTCTTTTAAAATTCAACTTGATCGGTTATCATGGCCGACAAGGAAGGTAACAATGAAAACTGCAATTTCAATTCTTCTCCTCATATGACTTCAAACTAATTAAAAAACTAAGAACAGTGTAGGAAAACAGGGCTCACTCGCGACTTGAATTGAAGTGGAGGCAAAATACTCTAGGGACGGTTAGGCGGCGTTATTTATCATGGGTTTGAAGTTGAGCTTGTACTAATGTGTAGAAGTCCTATATCGCCACCATTTGATATCATATCAAAACCTTTCATGCTCTAAATTTGCTTCTCTTAACTGTCCTTTTCACAGAAGCTTGAAATTGGGATCTCTAGACTCACAAAAATAATACAGTACTACGTAACAATAAAAAATAATAAGGACTACAATACTAATGAAATGAGAAAATAACCCAACCATTTATACGAGAGCCAAAAGGTTTACTGATCTATGTATCAGAATAATCTATAATGAAAATGGAAGATAAAAGAAGGTATCATAAACTAAAGTAACAATAAAAGTCTGACAGTTCATTATACCATATGCATTTATGAAGGAGATCATATAGACATAGAATAATCTGTTTTAAGTAGGGATGTCAAAAAAAACCAACCCGCAATGACCCGCCCTGGCAGGGATGGATTTAGGGGGGGGGGGGGGGGGGCGGGGGGGGGGGGGGGGGGACCGCCCCCCTTGGACATTCAATTTTTTTTACCATATATGTAATATTTTCATAAAACTTTCATAATTTAATTAGATTCGCCCCCCTTAGCTTTTTTAATTATCAAAATTAGTATATAGTCTTACATAATGTAATACTTAATTGGAGATTTAAAAGAAGAAACATCTAAAATAATTTACATAACTTAAACAAATAAACAATAGAGTAACTCGTTATTTAAGATTTAGGATAATTATTATATAAGAATTCATAGTTTTGTAATGTTTAATTATCTTTATTAGATAACAAGTACTAGATTTTGTAAAACATATATTAAACAATATTAAATACCAGACACACTATTTACACAACTTTTAGATCACGTGAAATGAATCCAAAATATAAATATTTATAGACATTAGATTACATAATTCATTTACTTCTTGCTTTCTAAAAATAATTTATTGCATGGATAATAAACTTTAAATTATTATAGAATTAATAAGAATATTAAAATATAATATGCACCATATGTTTGTGTGTATGTGGTGCATATTATTCTAAAAATAACAATCTCATACATACTAGTATACTACTATTGTAATATTAAGAAAACTTCTCATGAGTCATGACTCACGAACACCCTCATTGGTGGACAAAAATTACAATTCAATAACCGATTCATGAGGTTAAACAATGTAGAAGTTATTAAAAATGTATTGGTTGATATTTTTGTCATCATCTAAACTTAGAATGTAATAGATTTAAATGCCGCTCGGGATGTGCATGTATTAATTTAATTTTTTGAATAAAAATAGCCGCATAGCTTTACAGCAACGAAAAAATTTTGCCCCGCTACACTAGGGGAAAATTTTCACCCCGCTACACTAACAAAAAAAATTCACCCCCTACACTAGCGAAAAATTTCGCCCCCCTTGACTCAGAATCCTGGATCCGTCCCTGCGCCCTGGCCCGAGACATTTGGGGCGGGTCCGTCCCGCCCCGTCTTGCAAATGGGGCGGGTCCGCCCCAC